TGGATGGATGGATGGATGGATGGATGGATGGATGGATGGATGGATGGATGGATGGATGGATGGATGGATGGATGGATGGATGGATGGATGGATGGATGGATGGATGGATGGACGAAGAACCAAGGACGGAGCCAGAGGGGTGGCCAGGGTGGCTCTTGCCATCCCCTGACAGCGCTTAATTAGAGCTGGATCCTGCCTGAACAGGATCTGGGAACTCTCTTATTTTGACAGGGTGCATTCTGGTAACTGTTGGCTTGGATCTGGGAACGCTCTTATTTTGACAGGGTGCATTCTGGTAACTGTTGGCTTGGATCTGGGAACTCTCTTATTTTGACAGGGTGCATTCTGGTAACTGTTGGCTTGGATCTGGGAACTCTCAGGGTTACTAATAATAAAATTATGATCAAATATTATTGCCTTGAACAAATAAACTTATAATGGATATGTAAACTGAAAATAATTACATAAACACTCATTTTAAACACAACAAACGACACAGCACGACTTCTTGATATCACATATGATCATCTGCCCCTTCAAAGGAAGCATTCCACCTCCACACTTAAAATAAATTTCCACCCCTAAAAGAGTGATGGGAGTGCGTGTGGAGCTAATCAGGCAGGTAGTCATGCACGAGCAGGAGTCGTCCACAGGCAGCCGCAGGCAGGCGCCTGAAGGTTTCACATGTGTGTTCGGACAACAACGAGCAGGGACAGTGTCGGGTTCGGTTCTGAGCCTGACTTACTTGACGATTCCATCAAGTAAGGGCGAGGGGGGATGCTTGACAAAAGCGGAGAGTTTACAAATGTAGATGAACGTAGATGTGTTAACTCGTTAAAATACACCAAAATGCAGTAAATCACATCTACTTTATTCAAAATTCTCTGGGAGAAGACCACTCAGATGGCCCCCACCAAGCCGGCCCACCCGTTATTTGCTTTTCTGCTTTGATAGGTTTACAAATTAAGCTCCGCCCCCTGATGCCTGATTGGCCACCCTCATAGAATGACAAGTCAGTGAACGGTATTAAAGATGTGCATTTAGAGAAAATGTGTGGACACAATCATTAATTGTTTTTTTTTTTTTGTTTTTTTTTGAAGACAACTATTTTACAAAGTGTTGTACAATTTTTTTTAACTGTAGAGTGACTTTTACTCATAGACCTCTTGTGTGCTTGAGTTTGTTGAAAG